CAAAGTTTGAGTATTTTATATTATTTTTAAATATAAAAAATATATAAGAGATAATTATACTAAATAAAGGGACGTTTAAAAAGTAATAAAATAGCCCAGGGGGCTCGGTTTTTAATTAAAAAACGTAGCTTATAACTAAGGAGTATAAATTTAGTTTAATAACTTTATTAAGTTATTTAAAAAGAGGCTATTTACTTAAGAAAATAAGCGTAAATTTATTTAAAAAAGATTTAAACGCGGGCTATATATTTAAAAAAATATATAAACCGATAAAAATATTAATTCCGATTTAAATACTATTTATTTTTGTAAATAAAGTAGTTAATATTATTACGTCTTTAATAAGTTTTTTTAATAACGCCTTTAATATAAAAAGAGTATTTATAAATACCTCTTTTATTAAGGCCTTATTTATATAAACCCTCTTATTTTTATTTTTATTTAAAAAACTATTATATTTAAAAGCCTTATATAACGCTGCTATTACGTAAGTTAAGGACTATATATTAGATTATAAATAATAAATAGAACGAGGATAGTTAAGAACTTATTTTATAAAATATAAGTAGTTTTATATTTATAATTATAGTTACTATTACTTATTTTATTAACGCTTATTTAAAATATAAGAACTTTATACTTAGGTCCTATATATACTTTTTAAAAATAAGAGCATAACCTGTCTTTTTATAAGTTTAGTAGTATTAGTATGTATTATTAATATACGAACCTAGGAAGTACGTATTATTTAAATAATTATTAAGGGCGTTCTTAATATACCCGAGGTATTCGTAACTAAATAGGGGAAGTAAAAGTATTAGCTCGTATTAAACTTTAGTACTAAAAATAGTACTAAAAAGGTCCGTTATTAAAAATTAGTTTTATAAATAATAATAAATAAAAAAATATTATATATATAGTTAATTACTTTATACCCTCTAGGGAGAGGCGAGGGAGAGGGTTATAAACTTATTTTATTATTTTAATCCCTTTAGAAAAAGTTTTTTTTTTTTTTTTTATTTAAAAAGAGGCGAAGGAGGGGGTTATAAACCCTCTTTATTTATACCGTTTTTTTAAAAAACGAGGACTTTTTTTTAATTTTTAAAAAGGAATAAGAAAGGGGATTATAAACCCTTTTTATTTTTATTACTTTTTTAAATAACTTATTTAGCTATAAGGCCGTTATTTATTAAATAAAATAGTTAAATTAATATTAAATAAATAAGGCCGTATTACTAATTAAAAAATAAAATAAAAGAATATTATTTACCCTCTATAGGCTTATTATTAGGGCTAGGGGAGCTATTACTCTTTTTTAAGGCCGTAGTTTTATATTTATATTTCTTAACTTTTTATATTATAATAATATAAGTGCGGTTTTTAGCTATTTATTTTAGTAATATTTAAATAAAAATAATGCTATTAATAAAGATCCTTTTTTAATAATATATATATATAAAAATGCGAGTATAGAAGTAAAAAATAAGAGTATATATATATAGTAATAATATAAATATAAATTAAAAAAAGAAAAAAAGTTAGTATTATAAGTAGCGGTAAGAAATTTATATATTTATTATCCTTAACCCGTAAGTTAATTATTTAGTTAATAAAAAGCCGTTTTTTAGTTATATTTTTTATTAATAATATAGCTTTAAGATTATTTATAATAATAAATACGGAGGTTAATTTATAACTAATTTACCCCTCGTTTATAACTCTATACATAGACCGATTTATTTTATAATTCTTTTTCTAAATAGATTTTTATATATTAATATTTAGTTTTTTATTTTTAATAAACTTATTTATAATAATACGAGTAATTAAGTATATTTTTTTTAAATATATATTTATTTAAGGGGGTATATTATAATAGCTTTAACTATTTATAGCCTTATTATATATTACGTAACCTCGGTTATATAATTACTAAGGCCTATTTTATTTATATTTTTTATATTAGAGCGAGCTTTGAGCCTATTTCCTATTTTTAATAAATAACCGTTCTCTTTATATACGTCGATGCCCCTACAGTGACTCTACGACAGCTGTAATATTATAAACTCAATGGTGTAAATTCTCAACCCGCTGAGTCCTCATAAACGCCAATCCAAGTCAGATAACGACAAAACGCCACAACTCATCCTCGCTTGCCCCCAATTCCCTTCAATGAGCGAGCTTCTTGGCTTCTTTCTCTTCGGCGTACGCAAGCCCAGAATAATCAGGAAGTTGCCAGCCCGGCACATCATCTGATTGGAGTCGCTGGAGAATCTTGTCGATCCTCAAAGTCGACACCAACCACAAGATCGTGTACAGAATTGAAATAACCCACGACGAGTTGGGGTAGATCCAAGACGGCTTAAAACCAATGTCTTGAACTTCCTTCATGAGCTCCAAAATCTCATTGTTGTATGACTCGAGGGCGGCAGGAATACCGTCCGTCGCCTTCCCTGAAGACCCCGAGCAGTGTTTGGAGATCTCGCCAGCGAGCACGTAGGCACCGATGAACGCGCATGTCGTGCCCCGGCCCGTCAAGACGCTGGGTGCATATCCCGCATCTCCAAGAAGGGCCACACGATTCTTGTAGCACTTGCCCATGCGTATCTGTCCAATCTCGACACAGTAAAAGTCATTGGAAACACCGTCTTCGTTGAGCGCATCGCAAAAGCGGTCGGCTTGCCAGCCAGCATCCTTGAAGAGCTCTGACCACACCTGCTTCTGCCGTACAAGATCGCGGCTTCTTTCCGTTTCGATGAGAAGCTTCTCCGTCTCCTTGTCTGGTGGACACACGGCGAGGTATGCCTGGGTCGTCTCAGGATTGTCGTTTCTGGAAAAGAGCACACGCTTCTTGGGGCACACGCACACCGTGGCGTAGTTGTCGTCCGTCTTCCATTTCGGGACGGTGTAAAAGGCCATATGCACGCCAAGAGGATAGAACGGATCCTTCTCACCAGGGCTGAGCATGAGCCGTCTCGTCTTGGATCCCTGACCATCAGCTCCGACCAGCAGGTCGAATGTGTCCGTGGTTCCGTCTGACAGGTGGACCGTTACCGAGCCTGCATCCTGTTTGAACGTCTCGATCTTGACACCAAAAATGTACTTCACTCCAAGTGCAGTCGTCTTATCGAAAAGCAGCCGAACCAAATCGCCGCGCATAATTTCAAATTCTGATGTAAAGCCCTGCTTGCCAACACCAGATTTGTTTGCTTCAAAGGTCGCCTGTGTCTTCCCTTTGCCGTTGACAAATCGGACGCCAGCTTCGTTGACCACCTTGTCGCGGATGAGTCCTTCGAGTCCCATGCGGCGCACAACAGTAACTCCTTGGCCTCGAAGGTCGATTTGTTGACCCTGAACGCGAAGGGAAGGGGATCGCTCAAGGATGGTTACATCGTGGCCGAGCTTCGCCAACCAGAACGCAAGGGCCGGGCCGCCAATGCCTCCACCTGAGATGAGAACTTTGAGGGAAGACATGTGATTGGGAGTGGTGCAGTTGAATAGTAGATTGGCGTACTGGTGAGAGCGTTTGCAAACTGTGTAGCTTGGACAAGCCACTCTGCTAGCCAGGCCTGCTGGGTGATGAAGGGTATCTATAGCATTAGTAGGATATGAATTGAAACGTTGTGCTCGATATGCGTCGCGATGTACACGGTGATGGCATCTCGATGGGCGCGACAACTCGGCGATGGGTATGGCCCGCAAGCCGACATCCATTTCGGGCTTTACGAGAGCGCTGTGGCATTAGTGACGTCAAGACTAGGAGCCGATTCCCGTGTGGCTGTGGTCGCACCAGCCAGCTTTTGGCTTCCATTGGTTGCTCCGAGTCAAGCGCGCCGCTTGTAAGCATGAGGAGAAATAGCTGTGAAACACTTCGGACTATTCAAGAAAACACCGGTTCGGTCCTGTTAAGACCTTCGGCCTTCGGACAGCTGGGAGACTCACTAACCGCAACGGTCCTACCGTACTGCCGCGTATTCGCTGCTGCTAGCTTTCAAGGGTGGGCCGTAGTCTCATTCGGCCAAATACAGTATTGTACGGCCGGTCCGTATTACTTGTAAACAGGCAAGACATGTTCCTGTCGGTCTTGGACAGACCGAGAAGAGTAGGCGGGGCTTACTGAGGTTGGTCATAGGCCCATAGAATTGTCCTTAGATAGATGTAGACTCTCGAGCCCATCAAAGCAAAATTCACCTGATTCTTTTTATTCAAGCTTTGGGTGTAATCTTTGAAGCATGCCACAAGCCACGTCTTGGTGAGCAGATGGTCTGTCTAGATTCCTGTAATCCTAACATAGACAACTGAGACTACTGTCGCGGCTCCTGAGAGAGAGCTCTGTGAAATAGCAATAGAGCGATTGAAACCTGTTAGGGGGCTACTCAAAACTTCGTCAAAAGACGATGTTTCTTGTATTTCGCCATGAGCTCAAGAGCCATTTACACTTAACTATACCGGCTAAGTCGTATGGAGCTAGTACGGCAAGGCATGAAGAGCCGTTCTTAGACGGTACCGCGTAAGTACTATGACATATGTCCATGATCTTTCGATTGGTTCATTGCGCCCGCAGAAGCTTCATGACAATCTCTATGAACGTGAAATGTAATGATCAAGGCTAAACCGTCACGTGCAGTGGTTCTCGATGATTCAGTCTCGTCGCTTCTAGGTTAAGATGCTCGGTCGACTAAAACCTATTGCGGAGATATCGAATTCCTGCGTGCACTGCATCAGTCGGCCGAACTTGCTCACCCCGTCTTTCTGGGACTGTATTTCGCAGGCGCTTGATCCAGGCTGCCTGGCTTTCGCATGTCTTTCGGCGTCTTTTTGGACCAGCTTCCATTTTTGCTTGACGGGATCTAGAGGATTCTATTGTACGAGAAGAATTGGATGAAATTTCACTATACACTATGGACTCGCTGTGTCAAAGTGGATCATTTCTCCCACTTGTTGTTTGCCTTTTCGCAACGGACATACGCTAGCTCATCTCAAACGACAACCCTGCCTATCTACGGAAGATATCCTTTGGCTTTGAATGCCCGTTCAAGGATAGCACGGATGACGTTCTCTTTCCTAAAATTGTATTCCATCACAGTCTCACCCAGCGAATTACTCATGCCTGCGGCCTCCGTCTTGGTCTTTGCATACAGATCTCTGTCATCGTCATGTTCAATCAACCACTCCTTCATGATGAGATGTCTGGCCAACTCGGCCGTCCCGACTTTGAAGACGTGTAGGTTACAGGAAAACGGCCTGTGCATGGCGAAGAAGCGATGTTCGTGCCACTCGGGCTCGCGCAAGAGGAACTGGAAGCCGGCCTTCTCAAGTGCGGGCGCGTAGGCGGCCTCATCCGTCGGGTTCTCAACGGCGAGGTCAATGTCGATGACGTCCTTGGCGGGAAGGTTTGGCACCGATGTCGAGCCGACATGGCTTATGCTGACAGCTACAGAACCGATGGCGTTCTCTATGAGACTTAATGTCTTGGAAATGTTGTGGCCACTCGGGGTTTGGAGGTTCGATGGAAAGTGCAGGTTTGGATGTTCGCGTTGCGATGCGTTGAATGATCGTTGGATCAAATTCATAGTGTTTGACAATCTCTTCAATTGAGCAAGACATCTTTCCTAATGTCTTCTTGAATGATTTGTGACAGATTTCCTACAACACGCTGCACAGAATAATACGTGAATGCTGTCAAAACTGGTTTCTAGATTAAGGGATTGAGTCTATGTGGTGATGTGTCTAACGTGCTGTTATGAAGTACTCCAATACAGTCTAAATCGTCGCCAACCAAGGTGTGTTCCAGGGACGGCGTGAGTCATCCGGCGACTGTGTGGCTAGCATCGGATGCTACCTACAGCATCTGACCCCAGCTCACATCATCTTGATGCCTTTTCATGTTGCATGCCACGGCGACCGAAGCATCTAGGGATCCTCCAAGTCGACAAACCGATATGCCCAAAATGCGCACCAGATGAAAGTGATGCCACACAAAAAGAAGCTGACGAGGTAAAACACGGCGGCCTGGGTTGGTCAGTGATGCTCGTGAAAAAGAGCGAACCGGGTGATCAAACCTTGCTTGCTCCAACCCATCCCTGGCCGTCATACAATGGCGCGCAAACGTACACCGTCAATCCGCCGAGGAAGCAAATGGCCGAGTAGGCCATTAACATCATAGGCGCCTGCCACGTGAAGATCATATTCCACCGAACCTCTACAAACGGCATCTCCTTTGGGATCCACCCGCCCTTCTTCTTAATCTTGATGGCACGGATCTGCGGGATGGGAGGCACCTCCTCGAGTGGCGAGTGCATGGGCTCGACAGTCCTGCTGCGACGTATATAAAGGATCATGGCGAGGTCTTTGTCAACATTACGCGGCGTCGGGGATCGATGAAGAGTCTGAAAGATGAACTGCTCGGAGGCAGCGAGGAGGATGGAGAAGAGGGAGAAGGAGATGCTCGCGTGCCAAAATGCTGGGCTGAGCCAGTGCAATGAGTCGGGAGGCGGCCATGAAAAGCAACCGATGACGGCAGCTGAAATCAAGGTGCTCTGCGAGGAGTGAGTACATGATCGCGCAAAGCGAAGGCGTTGATGACTTACAGCAACTTGAACGAGCTGAAATTCGCTCAACTTTCGATCTCGCCATCGCTTCAGTTGTGCTGAAATTTCCTCGTCGGATTCGCGATCTTCAACAGCTTTGGCGATGGCTAATATCGGTAGCAAGGTGTTTTGCTGATAGAAGCGGTTGTATGGAAGGGTCAAGATGTCGGTGGCGATATGAGCAATCTTGCTGCTCAAGGTCACGGCAATAATCTAGACTGCGTCAGCGCAGGATGACCACGTTATACAGAATAAGGTTAAGTGAACCGTACGGCAATTTTGAGACCACGGTCGCTCTTGGGCACGCCTGGCGCATTGCCTGGTCCCCTTTCCGAATCCATCTCTGTGTGCATATCTTGATTATGATATTCATCTCTGCTATAGAGGCCCGGCGACTTTATAAAGGTCGCATCTACGGCGTACTGTAACCAGGCAGCTGGCTTGCAGGCCATGTGCAATATTTACACAAAGTAACGGATGACTGGCTGTCTTCTCGTGACCGCGCTGCTCCCCCACACCAACAGGTGATGTTTCCCCTCAAAGACTCCAGGTCATAATGTCTTAGACTAGCACCCTCACGAGCGGCGACAGACAGTCAGCTTGGCGTCAACTGACCAATAAAAGTCTTGTCGCAGCTATCAGGTAAGGCGAAGTGAACATGTTTCATGCTCGTCAACGAAACCTTCATAAGACGCAAGGCAACTTTATACCCGCGTGGAAGAGGCGGATGAAGGGCGAGGCCGCGCTAGCTCCCGTGTGTAGCTGAATACGAACACATGGTTGGGTGTGTGCAGGCCGAATTGGGCGGCTCAACCCTTTTTGATTTCAGCCTGGAACTTGCCAACCCACTGGGAAAACTCATCGCTTTCTCCAGTCCAAGGTGACTTGAGAAGTTCCGAAAGCCCAACGATCTCATCGAAGCACAGCTTCATTACTCGATCGATTTCATCAGGTGAGAGCTCGTAGAATGCGCCGGCAAGCTCGTCGAACATGTGCGGGAGTTTCCTGAGGACCCGCATCGACTCGTCCAGACGCTTAGGGATATCCGAGTTCTCGACCGGAAGGGAGGGTAGTGTCTTGAGTCGTCGCTTGATGATGGCCTGATATAGCAGCGTTGTCAGTCTCACGCGCTTCAGACAGGACTCGAGACGCTCGCGGATCTTGTCGGGGTCGTCGCGAGGAATCGTCCCCTGGTTCGCCATCATGTCGTCGATCATTTCCTGCGCCGAGGGCATCATGGAACCTAGGGCCGAATCGTGGTCCGCATCATTTACGGCATTATCATCATCATCGTCGTCGTCGTCATCGTCTTCGTCGTCTTCCGGCTCTTCGTCACCCCACTCCTTGAGCTCCTCCATGACATCCTTCAGCGTCGCCCTGAACTCTTCAACCTTTTTGATGAAGCAGCCGCCGATACCTCCGGTGGCAAATTGCACCAGATCGTCGCAAGCCGACCAAATAACACCAGTGGCAGCCATACTGCCCTTGCCAGGTGCACCCGTGGAGCCTGACTTTTGCGCTGTTGACAGAATCTTGCCATCCCTAGGGATCTTCTCAACCAGACCGCGGAGCTCCTTCAATACAGTGTAACATTTCCAAGCCAGATCTTTCCGAACAGTAGCCGTATATCGGTCTGCGTCACAAGCCTGGCCTGCGGTGGCGATGCCGGGAATCGGGCCGCCAACGAGTTCTCGGAGGACTTTGATGACGGCCGAGGGTGTGAAGGGTTCGTTGATGATGAGAACGGAAATCTTGGTTGAGTGCGCCTTGATCAGGGTAGCTGAATCACGAGCGAGAGCAAAGGCATCGACGGACGAGGTATCAGTCTGCTGAGGGGTGTCTTTGCCACTGTTGATGTTCTGGAGAACAGCCTCCAACTGCTGCATCAAGACGACAGCTGTGTCCGACAGAGCATTCAGAGCTGCTGGTGTAGTGGAGGAGTTTGAGGAAGCCATGTTGACGGGTCTGTGTGTCTCGCAAACACCTTGCAGGCCTCGGTGGTGGTCGACGCGGAGGTTTGCTCCGATATTGAAGATGTCCAGGCTACGAAAATTCAATATGACCAAAAATGCTGCAAAGTCATTGTGCCCCGCGTACTGGATGGAGGGGTATCTGGATAAGATACGTACCTTATTCGTCGCTTGGGCAGGTACGTACCGATCCTTCCCGCTCAAAAAGTGTCCAGTGCTCCTTCCTCAAGACTGGCGGCAGTCTCCAATTAGAACCCATAGTGATAAGAGCTGGTGGGGCAGACAGTGTCGATGATAGAGATACTGACACGTGACCGTCTTTGCAGCTGCCCGTCGCCAGCTCCGACACCCCTGTCAGCCCAACCCACCTTAGGCGTTTTGGGTGAGCTGGAAGTTCCACGAAGTAGTCCCGTACCTTCCTCTCCATAGTGTACAATACCTCACGTTTCCAACCCTCCAGTCTGTCACTTTGGATTGGATCTGGATAGCTTCACAACCACAACAAATCCCACAACAACGATCGAAACGCACGGATTGATGATCGATTCGATATCTTGAGAACCATCAAGATGCGTCAAAGCTACGGCATGGTGCTTTTGGGCACCTTTGTGTCTGCTGCTGCGCCCATCGCTGCAGCTAGCTTGCCTAGAGGTGTCGGTCCTGAATGTGAGTATCAGTCGGCAGTCGACCATCCAAGTCTCACCCAAATGGAGCAATTAGGCCATTTCAAGTTCATATGGGAGAAATGGAACAGGGTTTCTTTCTCTACATTCCCCTTCCTTTGTTACCTGACCAATTGGCCTGAAGCTTTGTCTTGAAGGTCCATGATCTGTCACTAACATGATTCCTTGCAGTCGCCAAGTTCTTCGAGCTCAAGCCCTCCTTCAAGTGCATAGGCCACCCCGAAATCAAACTTCGCTTCAGCCAGGTCAATGACAATAGCTGCGACTGTCCTGATGGCTCCGATGAGCCTGGCACCGCTGCCTGCGCGCACCTCGACCCCCTCTCCCCTCAGCAGCCATTCGCCGGCTCCCTGACGGGCACGACCAATACCTCCAATGCCCTCCCGGGCTTCTGGTGTGCCAATGAAGGTCACATTGGCGCCTATGTGCCTTTCATGTTCGTCAACGATGGCCACTGCGACTACGACGTCTGCTGCGACGGAAGCGAGGAGTACAGCAAGGTTGGTGGCCTCAAGTGCGCCAACAAGTGTGCGGAGATCGGAAAGGAGTATCGTCGCGTTGAAACTGCGCGTAAGGACGCCATCGATAAGGCTGCTAAGAGACGCAAGACGATGGCCAAGGAGTCTAGAGAGCTCCGCCGTCGTGTCGAGGCCAAGGTGACTAGCCTGAAGGACGAGGTCGCGGGTCTCGAGACCCGCAAGGAGGAGCTCGAGCAGAAGCTGCACGACATTGAGCGTTCTGAGAAGGGCAAGATTGTCAAGGGCGAGGGATCCGGCGGAAAGCTCGGCACTCTGCTCAACCTGGCCAAGACTCGCGTCACCGAACTCCGCGAGACCCTTGAGGATGTCGTTGCCCACCGCGACGAGCTCCAGAGCAAGGTGAAGGAGCTTGAGGGTATTCTCAGCCGCTTCAAGGAGGAGCACAATCCAAACTTCAACGATGAGGGTGTCAAGCGCGCCGTCAAGGGCTGGGAGGACTACGCTGCCAACCTTGCCAACGACCCACTGCCCGATGGCCTCGAGGCCGACATCAAGGAGGTTCTTGTCGAGGACAATGAGTCTTCAGGCATCAACTGGAAGGAGTTCGAGGAGGATGACGTTTCTGACACTGACATTCGTACGCGAGACCCTTGAACAAGATTGATGGTGAAAAAATATGGCTGACCATGCCTAGTCTACAACTTCGAGGCCTACCTCCCCGAGGGCATCCGCGAGTTCATCCACGGCAAGCTCTTGTCTTTCAGAGTCTGGATGATTGAAAATGGCCTGATTGCTGATAACAACAACGGCGGTGCCGAGTCTCGCCTGGTCAAGGCTGCCCGCGAGGCATTCAACTCGGCCAACAACGATCTCTCTGACAAGAAGCACCAGCTGGAGACCGAGCAGAAGGATCTGGAGAAGGACTACGGCACTGATGACATTTTCCGCATCTTAAGGGACAAGTGCGTCAGCACCGAGATTGGCGAGTACGAGTACGAGCTCTGCTGGATGGACAAGACCAACCAGAAGTCGAAGAAGGGCGGCGGTCACACCAACATGGGCAACTTTGTCCGCATCGACAAGGAGATGGCTGATGACGAGGAGCGCGTCGATGGCAAGAGCCTCGGCAAGGGCCTTCGCATGGTCATGCGGTACGAGAACGGCCAGGGTTGCTGGAATGGCCCTCAGAGACGTACTGATGTCTGGCTGGCCTGCAGTGAGACGGAGGAGCTTTGGAAGGTCACGGAGTCGGAGAAGTGCGTCTACAAGATGGAGGTGGGCACTCCTGCCGCCTGTGACGAGCTCCTTGAGCCTCCTACGCCCAAGGGCAAGGATGAGCTGTAGAGGCAGCAACGGCACGCAGCGTGTGTCCAGGAAGAATTCAGCATTGGGTCTGCTTAGCTTGGCGTCAGGTTCGTCTGCCTTAGACCGAGTAGAAAGGATGCATTAGGAATGGCCAAAACGTTTTTCGGTACTTGCAAATGGTGGTCTCTGATTCTTCGCGTAGGGTGAGCAACATGGAATAGGGGCCAAGGGGTATCATTTTTGTTTGTTCATTTGCGTTACAGCATGGCCTTTTCCCAGTTGGGACAGAATCAAGCTCTTGATGATGCCATCTTCCTCCGCCTGCTGAGCTCTTCTTGTTCAGCCAAGACCTTGGCTGTTAATGATGCGGCCATTGGATTGTTAATGTTGCTCGTCTTGCTCTCCTTCTTTGCAGCCTTTGCATCATCCGTAGCCCTCTTCTTCTCAGGCTTGTCGCCGTTGCCATTTTCCTTGGCATCATCCTCTGCCTTGCGCTTCTTTTTGCCGCCAGCTTTCTTGTCTTTCTTCAAGCCGTGTGTAAGCCCTGCAGCGGTCAAATCGTCCATTCTTTGCACCAGTTTCCTGAGATCGCGCTCCTCGGTTGGCAAGATTGGTACCACGTTCTCGCTCTTGAACTCTTCATTGCACTCTGGACATGCTGACTCTTGGATCTCCTTGATAGCAACCTCGGCAAACACATGCCCGCATGGTACCAGATAGACGGACTTGACTTGTGGGCCCAGCTCCTTGAGAGAGATGGGACAGACCCAGATATCCTTCTTGGTGCCTGGTGGTGTATGCTTGTGGAACTTGAGCTTGACAATATCGCGCAACGACTTGATGCCGGTCGAAGCAAATGTGAGTTCTTGGGATTCGGGATTAGATGGTGGCGACTCGGTGCTGT